ATAAAATGTGAGTTTATTTGCAGAACCATGTTATGTACAGAATTATTACAATATTATTATTTTGAGATGTATTTTATGTATTTCTTTTATGTTCAACAATGACAGACAGATGTACTGGGAAATCACAGAAAATACAAAACAATAATTTAACCAGAGGACAAAACGTAACTGAAATCCAAAAGTGACCAAAAATCAGGAGCTGTAATATGAGGTGGAGGGCTTCACTGAGGGGGAGGTCATGTGCTGGTGCTGAAGAGACGAGCTCGGAGACTGTGGTCCTGGAGAAAAGACACAAAGAGGTGCAAGCACGACCATTAAAACCCAGCACTCTTCTGGAAATGTTCACTTCCATCATTTTAGCAAAGGTATTTGATGGCGGAAGTTTGACTCAGACTGAGCAGCTCTTCAGGTGTCGTTATAAATGTCATTCAGACGTAGCAACAACAGAAAACTAAAAGAAAAATCGTCCAATCTTCACAAAAACAGTTCTAAACCCTGTAACCTGTGCCGTGCTCCGTCTTGACGTTCTTATCGAAGCACTGGTGCCTTTGGTAGGCTTCAAAGTTGACCGAGGCGTCGTCCTCCGATAGGCTGTGTGGGATTTGGCCGTCGCCTGGACGACACACCTCAAAACGAATCCATCTGTAGCTATTAAAAAATTAAAAAATGAACATTCGAAAGCAGAGGTAGTTTCTAAATCTTCAAATGTTAAAGGCATCAGCGTTTTCTCTGTTCTGTTTCACGTACTTGGTACATTTGCGTGCTCCTGGACAACTCTGGATTAGATTCTGGATGGTTGGGTGAGAAAAGCCAAAGAAGTCTGCCCCCGATGGCACGATGGGTGTAACGCATTTGGAACTAAGAGGAGGACACGATAAACAAAAGGTTGACTTTATCAACAAAACTCTGGACACAGTCTTTCATCCACAGTAACTTGTTGGTGTTGTTGGCGTCTGTACCTGACGGATGCGACGGCTTTCAGAAGGTTGGAGTGACACGTCAGTGCGGACGAGGCCACGATGGCGTTCTGAGGATCATCTTCAGGAACAATCTCAAACTGACGGGAGAGTATGGAAGAGAAGAAAAACAAAGACATTAATCTCAAACTGACGGGAGAGTATGGAAAAAAAAGACATTACAAGGACTCCCTGTTATGTCCCTTAAGTTACCTATTAATGTTGCATTACACTTGCTGTGATTTTTTGAGCATGTTTAGACAAATTTTGAATTTCCAAAAGTATTATGTTTTACCATCCACACTCTAATATTGAATTAAAAGTATCGCTACCTTTGGACCGTTTCCTCCGTCTTTGATTTGACAGGTGTAGAGACACTGCTGGTCAGGATTCTTCATACTCGCAAAGACTCGGGTGCTGCAGAAACCCACTGGATAGATGGCGCACTCATCGTGGAACGACATTCTGTCTGTGATGATCTAATGTACGGACAGGAAGTCAGTTCAAGTCAAGGGAGAAAGCTTTCCTTTTAAAGGTGTACACTCCTGCACACTGACCTCCCCCAGGCTGTACACGGTCAAACCTCCCAGCACAATGGGAAAGACGGGGCGACCAGATGAGTCCAGAGGGATGGGCTGCACCAGTTTCCTTGAACCATCGACTAGCTTTCTTTTCTTTGACATCTTTTTGGGCACTGAACAAACATGAGGGAGAAAGAAAAAAAAATGACATCATGAAAACATTTCAAATCCATCATCTGCAGTGGAAGACACAGAAACCACAGCACTCACGCTCTTCTTTGCCATTCTCCCTCCCTCGCTCCTTCCTCTCCTTCTTGGGTTTCCTCAGATTTCCCTCCTCGGCCGTTGACACCACTGACGTCATGCTCAGTGCAGCCGAAAGACCAGAAACACCTGCGGGCGCTGAGGTCAGCGCCACAGGCTGCACAGGTGGATGTGAACCTGAGCTTGGTGTGGGAATGATCTCCCCCTCTGTCAAAGACTGGTACTGCAGCAATGATTTCAGTAAGAACCTAGAGATAAAAAAAATGTAGAAACTGTTTGATACTGTGAGCTGAGATTATGAGAAAATCAGGACAAAGGACACAAGAGAAAAAACAAATCAAAACATAAATGGTAGTACATAGCACCGAGTCGTCTTAGGCTGTACACCTCTTCACTCTCTGCAGATTTTAATGTTAATTGGGGGGTAGGGAGCTACAATTCATAGTACTTGATGAGGATTTTTGTTTGACACACATCCACTCACCTCCGCTCCTCTTTTGCCCTCACAAACTTCTCCTCTAAATGTGCAACCTCATCACACAGAGCTGCATTCTCCTGTAAGTAATACAGCAGTACATGCAATTAAGGACTTCAAGTCATCATACTGTACTCTGACTCATAAATACTGTAGATCAGTCACTCACAAATATCATGGTGCGAGCCGCTTTCCGCAGCCTGAGGTACTTGAGTCGGTACTTTTCGTTCTGATTTTTTCGTGATCCTCTCTTCACCTTGGCTCTGGGCTCGGAGGAGGAGGTCGAGGATGGAAAGACAGTTGCTGATGAGCCGGAGCCAGAACCTCCTGTATTTTGCTGTGGTGAGCTGAGAAAAGACTGGGCAGTAAAGGCCTGCAGTGCTTGTTGTCGCTCCTCATCAGTCTACCGGGAGACGAAAACAGAGGAGGAAAAGAAGATCTATTTATAGGAGGTGCCAGGAACAGTGGTGTTTGAACTTTGTTGTAGCGATATATAATCAGATGAACAGGAAAAAAAAAACACATTAAAATGAAAAATGAAGAAAACTGTGTTTGTTATAAATAAATTAAAATTAAATTAAACATACAGAGCAAATAATTCACATTTAATCTCCCCCTTTTGTGCTAAAGTGATGTGTATTTTTTTTTTTCCAAAGTAAAAAAAAGTCGAGTTCCGTTTCAGGAATTACTGTCATTTATTATTCAGAAAATTTGTTTTTCTAAATAACTCACCAGCAGTGCAAAGACTCCGTTTCTGTTTTCAATCCTCTTGAACCTCCTGCTGCCCTTTTGGGTCTGAAACATATGTGAGACTAAGGCCAACGGCACAGAGCTACAGAAGCCAAATGTGTTTAGTTTTTTGTGTGTGTTTGCTCGTGTCACTGTGTCAGAAACAGATGTTTTGTTTTTTTTCCTGTAAGTCTACGTTCAAGGTTCATGTCCTGATTTGTTAATGCTCTGCTCTGAAAGAACTATGGAGTCAATGAGGCAGGATGGGAAAAAAACATGAACAAAAAAAAGACAGCGACACAAGTTTGAAAGAAAAATGCACTGCGTTAACTGAATTAACACGTGTAAAATGGAGGTTGAAGTTATGTGGTTCAACAGCAGGGGTTGCTGTCGGACTGGGTCCTAAACTCTCACCTCTCGGTACATGACTGCCTCCAGACTTGATTTTGCACTAGACAGAGAAAAACAAGTTACAGAAATTTGTCTTTTTTTTAAACAGTTTTATGGTGAATGTGTCACTTTTATTTTTATATTTTCTTTTATCTTGAACTGAGGACAACTGTCATACTTGGACTGAACGAGGCCCCTGTCAATGATTCTCTGCTTGATCTCTTTTATATGCATCGGACGCCCAGCTTCCTCCAAGACAATCTGCACAAGGAACAAAGTGTGTTCAGAAAAAAAATGACAGTCTGTTGTAAAGTCACTTAATAGTCAATAATTAATAGACACCTGTGCAGCATCCAGCCATGTGAGGTTTGGCTTCTCCATTATTTCACTTGGTGGATCACTGGAAAGTGAAAAGTATTCAACATCATCCATGGTGAAAAATCACTTTCACATTGTTACTGTTTTTAATTTAATAGTCTGTTCTTGTAGTATATCTTATTTAAATTACACAGCTCTCTACTAATGATTATAAAACAATGACAATGAATAATCAGTGCAAAGGAAACATCAGCCAAACATTAGTATTGGACAATATTTCAGTCGATAATTCAACGGAGCTTTCAGTAAACAGCGCAGAACTATCGATAAATGCATAGTCATTTGCCATAATACGTTGTCGTAGATGTAATCACGCAGATTGTTACATTATATGTACTCACAACATTATTTGTGTGGTTTGTTGTTGTTGTTTTGCATAGTCATTTGCCATAATACGTTGTTGTAGCTGTAATCACGCAGATTGTTACATTATCTGTATTCACTACATTATTTGTGTTGGGTTTTTGTGTGTGAAGAATTGCAGAATTATATGCTTAGAAATATGACTTTTGCCCAAACCTGTCCAGAGTTTCTGTGGTCCCCGACAGACTTGCAATGCTGTCCAGAGCTGGGAACAAGGAGTAGTTTCCCTGACCATCAGCCTCCATCTCAGACTCAAATGTGTTTAAGGACTCCATGGAGGACAGGGAAGAAACTCTGTCCAGTGACAAGAAGACACACGAACACTCATTATTACGTTTAAGTATGAGTTCAGGGAGATAAAAACACCGATACACTGGGCGTTTTAATTGTCATCAAACAGCAAAATATCTGTGGTATAAAAAACAGCTACATCAAATGTATTATTTTATAAGTACATGTATTGTTAAATATGTAATACGAATATTTAAAAAAGCAAACAAAATAGGGGGAAAAAATACTCACCAGACAGATATAGCTCCAAACAAATCAAGTATTTTCAGTTATTGCTCCGTTTTTGGTTGTTCCCGAGTCGAAACCTCAGGGTTCTTCCGTCTTTTCATCAATGTTTACAAACAGTTCCCCAAAGAGAACCACGCAAAAATAAAACTCTTAACTGTATGAACAGCTGAACCATAAATACATCACTCGGAAATATCAGGCAGCTAGCTCCTTAGCATGGCTAACTATTCTCGAGCTTCTTCTTCCTCTATCAGGCTTATTTGCGCATTACCGCCGCCTTGCGATCGGAGGTTGAACTGGAGTTCATAGAAAACTTCAAAACTAATGAAAATCTGTGACATATTTATCACAAAATCATGTGCTTTTTACAGTCAAACTAAGGTTATTTAATTGTTCACATCGCTGTGTTTAATATCTTGAAGCAAAAAGACAGAAGTATTCTTATTATCTTAAACCTCTACCTGTGTCCTGACATTGGATTGGTAACGTGCCCCACCTGTAAACTGTTGCATGTGAATGTGCAACAGTAAAGTAATAAATCCATCCTATATCAATGACACAGTAGAGACTCATCTGTTTCTTTCCAGTGTTGAATCAACTGTGTTTCCCAATTCTTAAATTGCTCCATGAAGGAAAAAAAACAATGTCATTTCACAACAAAGTAGCTCAGACATGAATGAGAAACAGAGATTGCTCACACTGTTTGCATCCATTTACTGCGCAAGTATATCCAGCAATCCAACAGAGCGCTTACATTACCTTAATTCATCACATTTAGTTTATTTAACAACCAATACATTTTGTGATTTTTTTGCACGGCTTTCTTAGGAAAACATACTTCTGTGAGAACATTTCACCATATGTTTGTACCACATGTTTACCAGTGAGTAGAAAATAGAGAAGAACAAGATCAAAACAGGTCAGGGATTATTTACAGAAAGCCATCCGAAGCAACCACTGACCTTTGACCCAACCTTTGTTTTGTTTGTATTTCACTCTATAGTCAAGCAGCCATATGGCAAACATACCCTGTGTCTGTGGAAACACTTTTTTCAGACATGAGAATATTGTATTAAGTTCAGTTATTTTCCAGTTACACAGAGGGACATGAGAGTTAGTAACAGTTGAGCCAGCCATAGTTGAGCAGAACACGATTCACCCTCTTCCACGGCGGGTAGTACTCGGTCTGTTTGGCTCCATTGGAGAAATAGAGATAACCTGTGGAAAGATACGTTTATTCTGTGTTTAGAATGAATTATACCCACAAATACCACAAGGAGGGGTTTTGTTTTTGTGATCAAGATTCCTCCTAACCACATTTTCAGGCTATGACAACAGAATGAACGACAGTGGTCCCTCGTCTATCGCAGGGGAGTTACGTTCCCGAAGCCGCCCACGATAGGTATAAAAACGCAAAGTAGAGACGCGATAGTTATTTTATTATTTACGTATATATTAACCCTTTACGAACCCTTTAGGGGGCATCGTAGGACACGAAATATGGCAAAAAACTTAACTAAACTTTTCCAAATCTTTTCAATATTTTTTTCTTTTTTTCTTGTTATGTTAAAAATTGTTTATTTATCATGAAAATAGTGGAAATACAAAAAAATGATACTGCAAAAACACGCGATACATCGAGGGACGACTGTGTAACTAAATGTTTCTCACCATAGTTTTCAAATACTGCATCTACTTTGGAGCCAATTCCAGGGAAATCCCAAGTGATGTATCTTGGGTATCCGGCGTCCATTTGACTTCTAAGGGGATCATAACTGTGGAGAAACATAAGAAATACAACATTTAATCCTACGGTTTTATATATTTACTAGAACGTAGTCGTTGTCACGACACAATAACAAACAACACTTTAAAAGTAAGATCTCACAGAAGTCTACAGCAGTGATTCTGGTGTGTCGTGGAACATTATCCAATTTCACATAATTGGGCTGAAAACCATTATTTATTTATTGCAAATAATTTTTCTTTGCTCATCAAAGCATGAAGGGTAGAACAATTAAATCTTCTTCTGCTAGGTGGCAGCAGATGGCTATAACTAAAAAAAAAAGATAATCAGAGCTGTTGAAGAAGATCTTTGTGAGTGTCTTTCTGTCTTTCTTCAATTCCTGCCAGTATATCAGCGTTGTCTTCAACTAAACAGGCCAAGATTTTAGTCAATTATGAGGCCATTTAAACTAGAAGATTATTATATTTATTACTTAGACTTTTTGTGAGATTTTTGTTGGTGGTGTGGCTCAAAAAAGGTTGGGAAACACTGGTCTAAAGTATAAAGTTAATTAAAACAATTTATCCACGACTCACCTCCAATACTGATTTTTGACAAATATGAAAGTTTTCCCAGTTGACGGCAGATAAACGGCTGCGTCGACTTTACTGATGGATGAGGGGAGGCCCAGGTTGGTGATGGACTTCGGATAACCAGGTATGATAGTCTTTGCCTGAGCCCGAATACCCCAGTACTGACGACCTGAACAGGAACAGATGCTGTTTATAGCTACGTCACGTTGTTGTGCAGTTTGACAGAATCATGTGATACAACAAATTATAATAAAGACTGAAGAGATGACCTTGGAACAGATACGCTGCATCACTGTTAGGGACCTCAAACGCAGCATCCACAGAGTTGATGCCGGACCATTTTGATGAAACTTTGACAAAACGGATCCCGTATTGATTCTTCTTCCAGTAGTAGCTGAAAAAGAGTAAAACAGTGGAGAATAAACAGAGGCAGAAATCCTAGAAAACAATGGCCCGTGGCCCAGATACGGCCCACCAAACCCTGGTACAAAGTATGGTGAAGACTGATGTCAATTCTTCCATAGCATGAATTACAAATCAACTGTAATTCCTGTTGATGCCACTAAATGGCAGCAGACATTAAATGTGTCAAATTATCTTAGAAAGTTTTTGGTTTATTTTGCTATATTTTATTTAAATTATTTCACCCAGAATTTTACATCCAACCAGTACTGAACCGCCGTCTTGTGGCAGGACTTCATCAAATTGGTAAAAATACAATCCCGTTTAGAGGAAAATCACCATAAAACCAGGGTTCTCATGGACACCGTGTGTGTTTCAACACCTAAATTAATGATGTTAATTTTGACCACACAGTGTTTGGTAACTCACGAGTCGTGAATCAAACCTACCCATTCTTAAAGAAGAACAGTTCTCCTCTAATGGAGGTAGCAGCATCGAACACCAGCCTCCTGTCACACTGCTCATCTCGAGGGTTGGGCAGAGGGTCTGGTTCTTCTGTTGGCTCTTCTGGCTCTGGTTCTGGTTCAGGGCGGGGAGGTGGTTTAGTCGTGGGAACTGCTGTACGGCTTCCTGTTGAGAAGGAGATGGAAAATCAAGGAATTGATTCCCAGAAATAAAGAAATCATGAAGGGGTCTGCGGTGGAGCGCTGTTGAAACTGTGTTTACTCGCCATAGAGCGCTTGAACTCCACGCCTGTCGTCATCTGGCAGCCTGTAACCATTAGTGTTGACATACTGATATGTGGGGAACATCAGAGCACGCCTGTCCTTGGAGTGATCCAGGCCCAGAGCGTGGCCGAACTCGTGGGCCGCCACCAACAGCAGATTCACTCCTGAACACGGTAACGGCAACAGTTGACTGATTTTTTTTAAATCAGGGTTTATCTGGTCTCAAATTGGAGTTTTTTTTTTTACCTCTGGCGCTAAGAGTCCAGGTTTCATCGTCATCAAAGTGTGTGTCTCCACCCTGACCTTGTCCAGGAGAGTTGGCGTGAGCCAAGACTCCACCAGATCCATCGAAGGGGTAAAAGTCCCCGTGATCTACAACGACATACAGCAAAAAAAAAGTCAACTCCAAACTTTCTGTAGATTATTTCAAACATTTTCAGAAATCCAGCAGAAACCTAATGGCCGTCGACCCACATCCGCCCTTGAAGAGGATCATGATGTCAGCAGTCCCGCTGTAGATCTGTTTGAAGTCCAGAGGGATGACGTCACTGTAGAGCTGAAAGGCCTTGGCGATGGTTGCGTCCACCTCACCCCGGCCCAGATCTGGGGTGTACTGCGTGATTCTGGTGCAGACAGACACGACTCACATCATCATCTGTTTTCATTGGTCCGTTCAGAAGCAGTAGGCGATCTCATGACGTACCTGTACGTGACCCGCCTCTTCTGCCACCTGGGTTTACCGTGGAAATGTCCGTATCGGCTGATGTCTGACACGCCGCACCTCGGCGCTTTCATCACCTCCAGAGTTTCTTTGTTTAAGACGCCAGTCACCTGGAGGTCAGGCAGTGGCATTACAACTCAACAACAAACCTGATGTTTTACAGATTGGTCAGGCAGTGGCATTACAACTCAACACAAACCTGATGTTTTACAGATTATTTAGCGATTCAAAGAATATATTATTAAACACAGGGGGATGTCCGATATTACATTTTTTGACAATATCCGATATGTTGATATTGTCCAAACACTTCATTTACAATTCCAATATCAACCGATACCAATATATGCAGCCGTTTGCCCCCAAAACTGGGGCAAACGTTCCTGCAAATGTGTGCACAAAGAAACGAGAATTTAGACACGAAATAAGCCACGCATTTTTTCTGCGAAAGCTCTAGTCTAGAGATCACTCATTATCACAGCATCAGGGGAAGTTTAAACCTATTTTTATAAAGAGTGAAATACTTAAAACAACTAGGTTATTATTTTTTGCCAAACACAGACTTACTAAAACACAGTAAGGTCTAGTAATTTAAAATGTCATTTTATAGTTGCGCTGTAACAGATCGAGAACGCCCCAGAAAATATATAATTCACAGGAACGACGAGGCCTGGGGGCAGCCGAGTCGTGGGTCATAAAAATCTAATTATTTGAAAGAAACCGTGGGCCACATAAAGTCTGTCCAAATGGTACACTGGCTCCTGGGGGCGCTCTTTAGTTCTATTTTCTACTAAACTCAATTTCCGAGTCTTCACACAGGTGATCGAAGTTCTGTTAAGAAAAAATAAATAATTGTTTTTTCAGTTTCAGTCATCACCTCCAGGCCAAAGAACGCCTGCATTGTTTCCAGGTCGTCTCTGAACGTGTTGTTGACGAGGCTTCGCAGTGTGACGTTGCTTCGCAGTGTGACGTTGCTGGTCCCCACGTCGTCGTAGAACATGGAAATATATTGCTGACATGCACAGAGAGACAAACATGTGACTGTAATATATTTTATTTCCGTTCATTTGTCATGTTTTTTTTTAAGTATTTTACAGGTGCATTACCTGAGCCAGATCATCCTCCTGTGGCGACATGGTCGGAGCGACGGTGGGGGCCGCGCCACAGAGCGCCGAACAAAGCAGCAGCACCGTCCAGAACTCTGAGCCCAACATTTTCCCTAAATTCATGCTTTACCTCCGTCCACGTCAGCTTCTGCTCCACACTCTCCTCACAGGATCTGTGTGGCTGTGATTAAAGCTGAGTGGGATCAATATAGGATGAGCCCCGGGGGTCAGGGGTAAAGAGTGATAAGTGGGGGGGGGGGGGTGATGATGTAATGAGTTATACCTTTCTAACCAAATACTTGTTTATTTCATGAGAAATATTTTATCTTTTTTTTTTCTGGAGTTCCCGATTCACCAAATGTCTTTGTCTAAATGTTTGTTTTCAGAAATATTCCAGTTTTTTTTTTCGGCTCTCCTCGTGAACCTTTCTGTCAAAGCCTCCACTGAACACCGGCCACAGTTCAGTCTGAAGTGTAAACACGAACACAGAGTTACTCACAGAAGGAATGTCAGAGGTGAGGAGTGATGTGAACTAATGTGACAACGAAGACGGTTGAATTCTAGTCTGTTTCTGTTTTAAAGTATAAAATGATTTTGTTTTAAAAACCTGTGTCACTTTAACACTGGTTGATATTGATATGATAAGAGTCTGGAAAGAGAATCTGAAGAAAATGTTTAGACAAAGCAGAGCAGATCAATCATTTTAACAAAGTCTTCGTTTGTTTTCAACTAAATATATAGAGTTCACTTAGCAGTAAAAAAAAAATACTGATTGAACCATTGACCCATTTGTGCTGTAAGGCAAGGGTGACAACCATTTTCCACTGTGTGACCATTATTAATATTATTATCGGTATTATACTGTATATATATATATATATAAATAATACTAAAAATGTGTCTGAGGAGATTAGCATTATTATTCACGTGTTTAATAATAACATTATTATTACATGGTTCTCAGATCCTTTCACAAATATTGGACAGATATTGAAGCATCATCAAACTCAAACATTGCTCTGTGGTATATTATTACACTACATGCTCACATTACATGCTCCAAATGTTAACCGTAAAAAAACCCAGTCGAATAAACAAGTTTCCAAAATGACAATATTTCTCTTCTATAAAGGTTATTCATCCTTCAGTTGAGGATAAATGACCAGGAGCGTATGAACAGTGTCAACATCCCAACCAGGAATTCGCTGGGATGACCTTCACCACCTGGTTCTTCCTCAGGTCAAACTGGTACGACTTCATCCCAGAGAGGAAGAAGACGCTGCCTGTCGGCACAGAAACATAACGGGACATTTTTTCACCTTCATGTATGAAGACGTCGTGTTTTCCTCCTCTGATAAAAAACAGCTGTAAACAGAGCGTTTCTATTTCAGGAAAACTGAAAAAAAAAAGTGCTGTTTTGGAAACGACGGCACGTTCAGTGTGGTGAGGACGGAGGTACGGAGGCAAAAACAAGAAAGTACTGCTTCTATTTTTACTGTTTCTGACTCCGAGGCCAACACTTTACAGATTTCATGGTTGGTTTGTTTGTGTTTTTACCATGGAACCTGAAGGCGGCGTTGACTCTCGTCGGAACTCCAGGCCAGTCGGTGTGGATGGGTCTGGGGTAGCCGGGGTCCATTCGTCTCCTCTTTTCATCGTACCTGAAAAAAAATCAACAACTTCACAAGAAATATGTACACAATCCCCTGATTATTAAAAAAGATTAATAAAATGAGCTGCAATGCTGCCATCTAGTGACTTTCACTTTCATGTACAGCAGTTTATCCCCCAAAACTAATATTTAGGAACACGTCCTTTGACGAAAAACAGGCGTTGTGTTATCAGGTTTTCATTATCGGAGGGAAAACCGATAACGATTCATACAGGTATTACATAATTATGCTAATATCGCTCGATATCGACACAGACTTTTTTCATGTTTTTTTCATGTTTTTTCCATCCTTTGGCTGGGTTCGCGACTCAGTGTCAACTTAATTAAAATATATACGTATGTAATTTGTTTTCATTTTGATTATTATAACTGACTATACCTGTAATAAACCTCTCCCGTGAAGAACATGGTTTTTCCACGTTCACCGATGTGCACGGCAGCATCGATCTGCCCGACTCTGGGGGAGAAGCCGTACTCGTAGATGGAGCCGGGGCGACCGTTCTCCTTCTTAGGCTGTTCAACCACCCAGTACTTATGACCTGGAGAAAACACAACCCTGTCACTGCATCATTTTGGGACGCGGTGAAAAACAGCAACACACCACAAAGCACGGCCAGAGTCCACGCAGGAAGTGCAACACTCAGGTTGCACAAGGCTGTAATTTGTGTGCAGCTCTGCGTTCTCCTCTTAATCCAGCTGTGTCATGCTGACGAGGCTTTTACTGAGCTAGATTTCCCGCTGCCCGTACCGGTGAATATGTAGACCGCGCCTTTGGCCGGGATGTCAAACACTGCGTCCACTGGAGAACTGATGCCGGGGAAGTATTCACCGCCGCGGGCCTCTGTCAGCTGGTTCCAGTAGGTCGACCGGGTCGTTCTCACCCACACAGACCTAAGGTGAAATAACAGAATATTAGCGACCATGTGTGGTCATCAGTGTAAGGCAGAAAACATGATAAAAATCCTACTTGTTTTTAAAGAAAATGATGTTGTTCCCCATCATCGTGGCAGCATCAAAAGAAACGTTTGGGTCACATTTACTGGGAATATTTTGGGTATTTCCATTTTTGGATGGTTTGCCTAAAAATAAAAAAAACAGATGATGTTTCATAAGCATTTTTGTAAGTTTCATTAGAGCAGCACAAACTGTAACGTCCCGTTGAGGTGTGACTCTCACCGTACAGTGTTTGGATCGCGTGGACGTCATCGTCGCTCATGGTCAGCGAGCGCTGCGTGCTGCTGTCATACCTGTAGCTGGGAAACATGACGGCAGAGGGATCTCTGGAGTGAGTCAGACCCAGTGAGTGGCCCAGTTCATGGGCTGCCACAGCAGACAGGCTGTAACCTGGACCACATCAACAAACATGCAGTTACTGCCACTAAATCAATTATGGGTCAAAATGGAAAAGGCAAAATCATGTCCTGGAAAAGGACATTTAAGCTGTGGTTATAGCACCTCCTGCAGGGGAGGAATAGCCCTCTGTTGGGTTTAAACATGTTCTGCTCAATATGCATTTTTAGAAAAATGCACATAAACACGGTTTAACTATGCAATTTCTCAACAACTCACATCACTAATCCATTCCACTAGGTGGCAGCAGAAATATAATATCAAAATATTTTTTAAAAAACAGTGAGAATCCACACTGTTGAAGAAGATCTTTATTTGTGTCTTTCTTCAATTCCTGCCAGTTTACAGTATCAACACGGTTCAACTAAACAGACCCAGGTTTAAAAGTATGGAAGTAAAAAAAAATCATTATTTGTCATTTCACTTATTTTTTGTGACATTTGTACACAAGTGGTGGGAAAGATTTGATCAACTCTGGTTTGACAGACGAACCTTGGCTCCCCGTTGTCCAGGTTTCATCTTCATCAAAGTGCACGTCTCCTCCCATCCCTTCTCCAGGCTGAAAAGCATGAGCCAGAACTCCACCAGGTCCATCAAAGGGGGAGAAGTCACCATGCACTAGGACAGACGGAATGGTTGGGTAAGAGTTAGCAGGGAAAACCTGGGTATTTTTATTTTATTTTATTTTATTTTATTTTATTTTATTTTATTTTATTTTATTTTATTTTATTTTATTTTATTTTATTTTATTTTATTTTATTTTATACTTACTTCTGCTGGTGAAGGACAGGACAACATCAGCTCTGCTCTGGTCTCTGACTCTGAGGAACTTGAGTGGCGCTGCGTCGCTCCACAACTTCAGAGCTGCACGGAATGAAGTTTCCACGTCCTCTCTCCTCATGTAGGTGTGTATTTGGCAACTCTTAGGATAATTGAAAAACATAATCTCAGGTGTGTATTTGGCAATTCTAGGATCATTGAAAAACATAAACTGTTAGAGAGTGTCAACACCACATACCCTCTGATGTCAAAATCCGTCTGGAATGAAAACAAACAAACAAACAAAAACTCACGTGAATGTGATGGTGCTGTTGCTCCATTTAGGTTTTCCTGGGTAAAAGCTGAAGTTCTCCACATCTGGAACGCCACACCTGGACGTCCTCATCACTTCCAGGGTCTCGGGGTTCAAACGTCCCGTCTCTCTGAGTCCAAAGAAATTTTGCATTTCTCTCATTTTTTCCTCCAGTTGTGACGCAGATCGGACTCGTCGTCGTCCGCCTCCAGGATTGAAGTGATAAAACTTCCTGAGGTAGTTCTGTCAGAGAGGAACAGAGAAAGTTTAGATTTTATTTATCCTGATGTGTCAAACTCAAGGCCTGGGGGCCCAATGTGGCCCGCCTGGTCACTTTGTATGGCCCGCGGGAACTTAAAAAGATCTTTGTATGGCCCGTGGGAGCTTAAAAAAAACCATGCAGCTGAGTTTCTTAACTTGATAAAGTAAAAGTTTTTTTATTATTACACAGAGTAATTAACTATAACTTAATTTAAATAATAATCAATTATTAATACGTTATGGAGTCGTTACACCTTTACGGTCTAACATTTTCAACCGGCCTCCAGGGGGAACTGTATTGCTGTGTTTTACCTAAAAAAAAAAAAAAAAAAACTTTTAAGTACACACTTTAAATAAAGAAATTCCTCATAGAACATAGTAATAAATCTATTGTCTATTGTTAATGGATGTCTGACATCCATCTTCCCACAAACCTCAGCTAGCTCCACATCCTCAGGTCCTGGCTGCGGTTCTCGATCCACGGCTCGAGTCCACGCCACCTCCACCAACACGACCCAGACCAACGCAGGAACCCACAACCAGAGCAACTCCATGATTAAATGAACGTTTTCCCGCAGGTCTCCCATATTTATATGTGTGAGTTTTCAGAGGGAAGTTGATTTAAACGCTGCCAACCAGAACAGACCTGGTGTTTACAGCTGGCTCTACCTGACGCAGTCTTCTGGAGGTTTTGTGGTGAACCGTCTACGGAGTATGTCTGGGCTCAGTGTGAGTGTGTACATGTACTGATGTAAACTGTGTACCCGGAGTTTCGTACTAGAGTAGAAACCACATTTACTCTCTGTAATCGAGTGTCAAACTTGGTGATGAGCAGCTCTGATAAAAAATAACAAAATAAAACATTCTAATTCTATTAAAAAATGCATTAAAGTGAGTGAACAGACAACGTAAATTAACATTATCGTTCTTTTTATTGTAGCAATTTATCACATGTGCAACATCGCAAAAAAGGGATTTTTCTATTTTTTTTTTATTTTATGTTTTCAATCGTATCATTTCGTTGATGCTTCAACATCCGAGCCAGGAGTTTGTTTTCTCGACCCCGACAACACGTTTCTGGGTGTTGTCGTATTTGTAGACTTGCGGGCCCACGAAGAAGTAAAGAAAACCTGCGGAGAACAGACGGCAGACGTTTAAAGGAACGTGATTTACGTTCAATATTTCACTCGTGTTTTATCGTCTGTCTAGAATGTTATTGCTGTTTAACGATGATGAGTGGAATCAAGGTGCGGAGCTGCTCTCTGAAGTACTCACCGCGGCCTACTGCAGTAATTGCAGTATTTCATGTGAAGGACTTCATTTGGTAAATTATACAGTTTAGATGATGGGGGAGCAGCAGCGCCACACTGTGTGTAAATTAACATTCCTGTGCAATTTGCAAAAGCCCCAAAGACACAATATACGATCTTCTTTCTAACATGTGAGTTGGTTTTTTTGCTTCATCTTTTATCAAATGAAACGTGAATTTATTCTCTTCAGAAATGCAGAACAACGACGCCTTTTTACCGTCTTTATGAACAGCTTTTCTAACATGTGAGTTCCTGGGTTGTTATTTTATTTTTTTTTTGCTTCATCTTTTATCAAATGAAATGTGAATTTATTCGTCTTCCTCTTCAGAAATGCAGAACAACAAAGACTTTTTACCGTCTTTATGAACAGCCGCGTTTATGGTCGCATTGACTCCTGGGAAACCTTCGCTGATGTACTTGGGGTAACCAAAATCCATAATCCTCCGATTTTCGTTGTAACTGAAAACAAACCAAACAGTTTGTTTTTTACGTGAAGGACCAAACATTTGTTTCCGTGAAAATAAACTAGAACTTTCTGTGTGGGAACAGATGTTGATTGACTGGAAGTCAGTGTTTACTGAGACCAAGTTAATTAAAGGTTGTATTAAATTAACCTTCGCCTTCGTTCATTCACTACCAGTGCAACATCAAAACAGGTTTCTGCCATGTTTGATTTACTTGAAGTAAAAAAAAGTCTTCATCGAAATCGACTGCATCCACATATTTGTGGTTCATAATTAAACACAACCCTGATTTTTAGAAAGTCAGTCAAAATACATAGAGTTAATTTGTAGTTCAATTTCCATCCCTGCAGATGGTACTAGAAGCACAATGTGGTCCAGACCTTGAGCGTTAAACAAAATTACTATCCATAAATTCCAGACATTAAAAATTGTATTTTTGTTTGTTTGTTTTTTTCTTTAGAAACCGTTTGCAACATGTTCAAAAACCCTTTTAGAGTCCAGGGTTCATGTGGAGTAAAGACAAATTTGGTTTTTTTTTTTCATAATCGTTTGTCATCCTAATTACCTCCAGTAGATGTCATGCATGAAGAAAAGTGTGCGTCCTGTTTTCACCAGATGCACGGCTGCGTCCACGTCCTGCACCCAGGCCGGGAACCCAAAGTGGCTGAGTGACCTGGGCTTCCCCTTCATCCGTGACCCTTTCACCGTCCAGAACATGGACTCTGTCAAAACAGTGGAAGAGATTCATTTTATATTCTTGTGTTATATTCTATTAGCAAATAAATATTTTGCATAGTAGCAAAATTGGTACCGTGAATGAGGTAAGCAGTCGATCTGCGTGGGACCCAAAACGCTGCATCGATGTTTGTTTCAATCCTGGGCATAAAGTTGGAGATCGGCCCCTCCTTTATGTCCAACTGTTCATTATGTTTTATCCACAGATACCTCGTTTGAAAATAAAAATCATTTTTGGGTAATTATTACAATATATTTCAGTCATTTTAGGTCACATTGTTTTGCCGATATTGTCCAAACATTTAATTTCCGATTCTGATTTCAACAGATACTGATATAGGTCTGGTAATATCTATTATTTTATCTGTTGCTGGTACTAGCAATCTGCGTACAATCCCCTGATTATTAAAAAGATTATTAAAATGTGCTGAAATGCTGCCATCTAGTGACTTTAATTTTCACATATAGCCTTTAAATCCCGCAAAACTATTCGTAGGGCACACATCATTCGTTGAAACCAAGCCATCGTGCTATCGGGTTATCATTATCGGAGAAAAAAACGATACGGGTCCTTACAGATATCAGCCGATATTATCGGACATCCCTACATTGATTCAAAGCAAAGGTATAGTCGCTACCTTCCTCTGAAAAAAAACGTTGCGTCTCCAAGAGTGGACACTGCATCAAAGGTCAGGTCTGGAGAACATCTGTTCTGCAGGAGTCGAGGGAACAGAGACCCAGATGTCCACGGGTTGTAGTGAGACGTCCAGCCAAACCTTGGAAAAAGGATTGGACGTCCTCCGGCTCGATCTGGAACACAGCACGTCAACAACAGACGCCAGTTCACTGAGAATGTGCAGGGATTTTAATGTGTTTCAAACTGATGATTATATTTATAAAAATCCATGATTTTACTGTAAAGTGCCTTGATATTTGTCTCATCTTCTCTCGATAACAGGTGGGCGGGACGGGAGGCTCTGTAGCTGGGGTACATCAGAGACTCCGGGTTCCTGGAGTGCTTTAATCCCAGGGCATGACCAAACTCATGAGCAGCTACGACCAACAGATTGAATCCTGAAATCCATCAACAAAAACAGTCACATGACACTTTAACGGTGATCGCCAGACTCTCTGTGTGTGTGTCGGACACCTCTGTTTCCAGTCGTCCAGAGTTCATCGTCATCGAAGTGCGTGTCACCACCGAAACCCAACCCCGGACCAAAGGCATGAGCCAGCGTTCCTCTGGGGCCGTCGAACGGGAACAGGTCGCCGTGTTCTGCTCCGGGACAAACATGGAAACGAGACAACAGTGAAAACCATTTTCTGGAAAATTACAGTCCTCTCTTCACCTCAGCAGCCGCCGCCGCATCGTGACGTTAGCTCGGTAGGCAGCTAAATGCTATCGAAGTTCAACATTAGCGTAAATGCTAACTGGCCAATACATAAGGGACACTCATCAACCTGATCCTCCCAGCCAATCACTATGCAGTCTTGTTGTCTATGACTTTGTCTATCACAATGTATCGCGGTTTTCGGTTGCCAATCACTAACATCTTCAATAATTACAAAGAACGTTAATAACAGTTAACAAAAAATATCGTTAATAACAGTTAACATTGTAGCAAATGTAGTTATTTACATAAAAATAGAAAAACTTTTTTTATGAGAAAACCAAAGCTACGATTCTTCAAAAGGTGTCATGCTCTCCATAGGGGGCGCCAAAGCACGAAGCGAGAAGGAACGCAATTATTTGTTCAACGTGTAGAGAAAAATAAAAGTAAAAAAAAATGATTTAATTAAATTATGGCATTAAGAACAAAGTCATAACTAATTTGTGATAAACACAGTGACATTTGACATCTGTAAAATCCTTCCTCCAGCGTTAGCTGTCAAATGAAGACAAACCTCACCGCGGGTCACAAACTCCACCATGATGTCAGCGTGGGAGGTTTGGCTCTTGACGAAGCTGAGGCCACCAGCTCTGGCCCAAACGCTGAACGCTGACTCAACCAGTGAGTCCACGGTGCTGCGGGGCAAATCCCTGGTGTACCTGCCGATCCTGCAGGGCGTTTTTGATCGAGTTAGGCTCAGAGGACAAAATGTTCTTTACTGATACTGTCAAAGCTGAACAAGGTGGATTCATAGACGTTTTTAAAAAATGATTAGGAGTCTGGTGCTTCTAATGATTAAAATGACAAAGATTTATTTTCCTGACCCTAAAAATTCTATTCCCACCATTTCACGACTGCGTCAATCCTAAAACACCTTTTCTATATCGTGACGTCAGTAACATCTCAGACCTGTAGCTGATGACGTTCTTGTTCCACCTTGACCCCTGGAGGGTGCTGTACTCCTCTACGTCTGGAACGCCACACCTGGGGCTCCGCATCACGTCCAGTGTGTCGGAGTCCAGCTCGCCGGTTACATTCAGCCCGAAGAAGATCTGCATGTCTTTCACTTTGGAGGTGAAGGTCGGACCACTCCTCTTCATGCGGCCCGCGGGCTCTTTCTGCAGGTGGTAATACTGCTGCAGGTAATCCTGTCAAAACGTTCAAAAAAGGAAACGGGAAAATTAGCTGGCAATGTTTGTTTTTTTCCCCAGAAATCCTCTTAACAAATATGAAGTTTTAGGAGTTATGGAAGGTGTTTTAGAAAGAGTCATGCAGTACGTCAATATCGTCTGCCTCAGGGCCTGCACCTCCCATCCCCCCCACACCCCACACAAAAACCCAAATAAATAAAATCTTTGCATCCTTCGGCGTAGGAGAACATGGATCCTGGCCGCGCGCTGAGTTGTTACGATTACTTGGATCGTAATGAGAACGAAACTACAAAACTACAGAGCTGAACAGGAGACGGAATCGCAGCGTCACGCTGGAACATTTGTCATGCAGCTGGGGCAATCAAGCACTTACTGTGGCCAGCTCCAAGTCAACCTGTGGTTCTGCAGAGGGCGAGCTCGCTGCCTCCGGAATAAATATGGACGCCGTGGAACATGGACGAGGCAGCAGGACAAGGAAGGAGAAGAGGAAAACGACGACGACGACACGGCAGGGCAGCACCATGACCTTCATCTCACACAGACGGACGGACGGACGGGCCACATGAGCTCCAGTGACCTGGCTCAAACCTCGGGTCAACGGGAAAGCCTTTTTAAATGGCTATTGTGACTCATGCCACTTGCAAATCCAAGGAAAGCCTCAGACACTGCTGTGGAATTAGGGAGGGGTTTACAGACGGCCAGGGCGAGGAGGGAAAAAAAAAAGTTTCAGGATCTTCTCTCTGGACCGTGGTTCAGACGTGATGTTGAAAATTATGTTGATTTTGATGAAGAGCACGGCGTTTTAGTAAAGATGAGCAGGGCATCGCTTTTTTATTATTATTATTATTATTTGAACCTGAGATTAAACATCACAAGTGCCGAGATAATCCCGCACCTGCTGATAAAAACAAGCAGCTTTAATATTGAGTAACTCATGTTGCCGTTCTCTGCAGAAACGTTGTCTCTGTTGCCTCCAGACTTGAGCAACACAGTAAGAAGTAAGGCTGGTATTTCTCAGTCCCACGCATTCGACAGGCTCTCCTGAAATAACACCATTTAAACTGGTCTCGTCCCATTTTAGAAAACACACACACACGCAGGACCGTCCAATGACAGAGTTCAGGCAACAGGAGCTGAAATTGCAGGGGTGGATTTGGGGCCTTTGAAATAGAAAAAATGACCAGAATGTCATGACTTGGTAAGGGTGGCGCTGTGGTGAGGTGGGGCTGCGTGAGGTGGCGCTGTGGTCAGGTGGCTAATTAGCTATTGTGGCACTTTACAGGCGAAAAGCTGCATTCCTCCGCAGCATAACGTGAGGCGAGTTCTCCAGAGAGTGTCCATGTTTGAGGAGTTTGTGTCATTTCTGGATTCACAGGTCGACATCAGACCTGGTAATGAAGTCATTCCATTACGATGCAGTTTAAAAGGCCTGTAATGTCGGGTCATTAGCTCAGGCGTGGCGGTTCTTGAGCACGAAGCTAAGATGATCGATATGCCTGACGGGCCACGTATAATCGTCCGATGTAATCGACGTCTATTATTTTTAAATGATGCTCTGAGATTTAGTGAAGGCCTAAATACTGTAATCTTCTTGATTCCAAAGTTAGAGACACACAAAGGGTCACGACAAGGACAAACAGGACGGAGGATAAAAAAATAACAAATTAGCAACAGAGGAAACAAACACAGTCTTTAACAGGAAACATACGAGGAGAGAGCTGGAAATTTAATAGACATGAAAGACTGAAGCAACTTAAATATTTGACCTCCAGTCACACAGAAAAAAAAAACTCCTCTCACAAATCCAACAAACTATCGGTACATTTATTGCCATGAAAAACAGAAACCAAAAGCTGTGAAACAGACTGAACAAGGCTGGTGAAACAGGTGGTAAGAAACACAGAACTCTATTGCCATGAAAAACAGAAACCAAAAGTTGTGAAACAGACTGAACAAGGCTGATACTAGAAAACAGGACCAACCACCTGTGAGGGTTTGGAGGTGAAATCCCGTCTTAACTGCAGTCGTGTATCTGGTACTGGTGCCAATCAACGAGATGAGCTTCAGGTGTTCGTTGGTGGAGAGCGGGAAATCAGACAAAGGGAGTAAAACCTTGATTGACAACGCCAGGTTTTTGAACCACATTTGAGCCGCAGCTCCAAACATTTCCCTTTTGAAAACTGCTGACCTCCTGCGGCCAAAATTGATACTGTATTTAAATACTGATTTTTAAAAAAAAAATTTTAATGACTGAATTTGAACAGTTGTTTCAGTGAATTAACTTTAGCATAAAAACAACAATGAATTTATTTCAAAAACGACTGCTATGGTTTTTTTCTTTAACAAAAGAATTCCAGAAACTCAACTGTTCCTGAGGAGCGGTGTTTTAGTGCCCTCTAGTGGGCAGCTTGTAACAGCGGCCTGAGGAGACGGGAAACAGTATTTATGTGTGTGTGTGTGTGTGTGTGTCACGCTGAGATCATACCAAGCGCAACTGACGAAAATGAAGGAAAAGGGACTTTTTCCACTCGTGCATCATCAAACTCTGAGACCTCAGTTTGATCTGTGGATTCAAAGGTTTACAGATGCTTCACTTTGAGGTTTACCATCAGAACCCGAAGGTGATTTGAGGAGACGGCCCAGACTCCGAGGTCTGGCTTTTGTCGAACATCAATCAAATTAGTGCTGGTTTCTGTCTCTGGGACAAGGAGAACCTCTGACTCATGAAGAGGGAATCGACCCAGGCTTTATTCTCTAGGCCGAGTCTTTGAGTTGATAAACATTTGTTCCAAATTAGAAGGTCCAGGATCAAAGCTTTTGAAGCTGATGGAGATCAACGAAGGCTTTTGAGGAACATTTCCGCTGAGACGTGAGAACAAACTAAACAAACTAAAAGAGGCAAAAAAAACAAAACACATGCAGCAAACCAACACAACCATCTCATAGAAGAATCTTATTACCACTGAACCCTTCAAGGATCTAAAGGGGAGCTGGAGCCACAGTCATGACCATCATATTGACCAACCTGTGGACTTTGTGAGGAAGCCAAATCCAAAATGCAATCTCCATACAGACACACCAGTTACCACCGGACTCAAACCTGTGACCTTCTTGCTGTAAGGCAAGAGCACGAACCGCTCCTCCACCGTGGGGCCCCATGTTTATTTGTTGTTATGAGATTTCACAGTAAATTATACTGTTTTGATTTGACTTTTTTTTAAATATTTATGACAGATCTGTGAACCCGGCGGCTGTTTGACCTGCTGTACAAAAGGTCATGAAGGTCACAGGGTTAGTTTTATTTGACTTTTTGTCAGTAACTTTTACTGTTGTTCTACAGACATCACAGTTACAGGAAACACAGTGAAACAGTTTGGGCTCAGAATGACGACGTACAGTATTTGTGTTTCTCAGCAGGTTTGTTGATGGGAATCAGTCCCACATAATGGTTTCCATTCCCGAGGCCGATGATGAAGCACAACTACAGAGAGTGACAGAGAACCGATCGTCTGCACAACGACACTCATAAAATCAGAACCCGAAGTCAAACTCTTTGGTTTAGACGTCACCACAGAGTCGACCTGTGGAACCAGGTCAACAAACCACCAGGGGGACTAAAATATATACGGTGTATGTCGAAATATTTATATCGCAATGTTGTTTGTTAAATGATCTTAAGTGGACGTGACCTCACACGACCCCTGGCGTTCCCTGTTTGTGTCAAACACGCCGTCAAACACAGTTGCGATGTCTGTGTTTAAGGAGTGTAACTCACCTCGCTCACCTCACACCTCAACATCTGTGCCTTCATGTGTTTTGTGGCCGCGTGTGTGACTGTGTGTGTGTGTTAGTCAGTGACCATTTTAAAATAAACACAAAAAATTCCCTCTAACTGCCAACTTCCCCGTGGCGTGAGTCAGGAGCAGCCGGTTCACCTCCGTCCAAAGTCAGTGATGTTTCACCAAAAATATTTGTATTCCTAGGAAACTCAAATGTTCGGAAAGAAAAAAAACAACAATACTGCAATGATGATAATAATAATAATAATAATAATAAATGGAAGTTTAATATTATTGTTGTTGTTGTTTTTTATGTGATATATTTGATTTAACTCACCCTCTCAGTCAGCGCCCACTGCTGGTGACGGAGACTGCGTTAGATTATTCTGTCACGTATTTCACCTCTGATTATTGCTATTGAAGGATTCAGAAATCTGAAAACGTCTTTGTCCACGTCTGTAAACAACGCCAGACGCCAGGTTGTTTGTCTTTGTGGACGTGAAGGAATTTTCAGCGATGTGGTGGCGGCTAATAATTACACAGCAGCAGCAGCAGCGGCGGCCGCGGGGGCGGCGGCGGCGTTAGCCGACATGTCTCCACCTGCACCGTGCACAGAACCATTGTGTTGGTGAAACAGGGTGATTATCACACCCTTGAACACACACTTTACCTGACTGTTGTATTTGTGACCCACTAACAATAACTATTCATTTACAAAGAGTCCTTTAAAACATAATCAAACTGATTTTTTTTCCGTATTTGCCTCAAAATGTGTAAAAAAAAATCTGCTTATGTACCTTTTCACCTAGCATGCAGTAAAACGGTATCGCATTTTTTGTTTTTTTTTCAGGATCAAGGATCAGGCTTGATTTGCGACTTATATATTAAAATATATAATTTCACATGTGAAGGAATTTTCATACAGACCGCCGCTAGAGGGCACTCTAGGCTTGTGTAACAGTATCTGCTACTCCTGTATCACTGAAAATGTACATGTTCGCTATTTTCCCAATGACAGCCACTAGAGGGCACTGGTGCGACTTATATTCCAGAAAATACGGCCCATATTAGTCATTTAAGATAAAAATATCAAATTTATATTTAATTGGATTTTGCTTCCATTATTTTCTTCAAAATCATTCTTTATTTGTAATGATAATAACTAAGTATTAGAAAAAATACCAACGTTGTTGTTTTGTTTTTGTTTTTTTAGTTGCATTTACTGTCATTAAGTTGTTTCTGTGTTGGAAAATAAATAATATTAATTTTTTCAGAACATTTTCAGAGCAGTTCAGATCAGTGCACTCAAGCCACAGCTGCTGTCGTTTTACACAGACCAGCACATTCTGGACAGAGAGGAAGTGGTGAGGTGCTTTTACATGAATCACACAGAGTCTGTGAAAAAAAAAAAAAAAAAAAAAAACCTAAACACTATAAATACCCGAGTGTTTCTTCAACCCAGTGAACTGCTGAGGAAAACACTGAGACAGCGACGATGACAACACCACCGCTGCTGATGCTGATGCTGATGCTGCTGCTGATGCTCTTCACCCTCAGTCCTCGCTCCTCTGCTGGACCGGTGCCGTCGGAGGACCTGGACGACTGGCTGTTGGCCGAGGTGAGACATCAGCCGTTTGATCAAAACTGATTTTTTTTTATTTTCTCAGGTGAGATTCACAAAGACAATATTTTGTTTCCCCTTTTGGATAGAAATACCTTCGGCACTTTTACGATCTGCCAGTAGGTCTGCAGGGCAGACGAGGCGAACCGTCAGGTCACTTCACGGCCAAAATCAAGGAAATGCAGAGGTTCTTCAAACTGAAGGTAAGAAATTTCATCAATTTGACGTGTTTATAATTTTTTTTTTCAAATTCAAATTAACGTCTAAAATTAACACTATTATAATTGTATCACATTATTCTGCAGTACGACCAATAAATATTTGAATTTTACGGCATCCAATCTTTGACCTTAGATCAAGGGGCCCCAACCCCCGGTCAGTCCGTCAGTTATTTAGTACTGGTACATAAAATGTACTTCAGTTTTACTAATTTACTTCATAACAAAAGCTTTTTTCATTCAAAGATAATCTGTCAATCTTTCAGAACGACAGGTCGTTCAGACTCTGACCTTAACAGGAGAAAGTCTTTTATTTTGAAAATTCAATGATCCTTCAACCATGGTGCGGTACTGGTCTGATACCGGTCTGATACCGGGGAGACTGGCCCATGGTACTCAATGATCCTTCAACCATGGTGCAGTACTACTGGTCTGATACCGGTATGATACCGGGGAGACTGGTCCTTGGTACGAAAAAAATCTGGGACTGCAGATTTAGACAGATTTTTCACACGGTGCCAATGGGTTTTTTTTTCTGCCCCGCTCTCTTGTCTGCAGGTGACAGGTAATTTGGATGAAAACACCCTGGATCTGATGAAGGAGCCCAGATGTGGGGTCCCAGACGTTGGGGAGTACAACCACTTCCCTCGAGACCTCAAATGGCAAACCAACGACGTCACATTCAGGTCGGCGTCCAAACTGAGACAATCGTTATCACAGTTAAAAATATATTTATTTCTGTGTCGGTGTTGACATTCTCTATGTCTTTTCTCCACAATGGTTCAGGATCGTAAATTACACACCGGATCTGGAGAAATCCGACGTGGACAGAGCCATCCGCAGGGCACTAAATGTCTGGTCTGATGTCACACCTCTGACCTTCAAGAAGCTGCACAAGGGAATCGCTGACATCATGATCAGCTTCGGATCCAGAGGTATAAAAACAAACAAACTGAGACATCATGATCAGCTTCGGATCCAGAGGTATAAAAACAAACGAACTGACGGTGGTCAGTCTGATGGTCAGTACCTGCCGAATGATGCTGACTCTCTTTGTCTGATATCCTGCAGAGCACGGAGACCACAACCCCTTTGACGGTCCTGACGGACTGCTGGCCCACGCCTACCCCCCCGGAGAAGGCATCGGCGGAGACACTCACTTCGACGAGGACGAACATTGGTCCAAGGATTCATCAAGTAGGAATTTCACACGCAGCCACGTGCACCGTAATGACAGACAGACAGAGAGTGACGGACCGTGAGTGTGTTGACTGAATACCGTTTCTGTACAGCCTACAACCTGTTCATCGTGGCAGCCCACGAGTTGGGACACGCTCTCGGCATGTCGCACTCCACAGAGCCGAGTGCACTGATGTACCCCGTGTACTCCTACTCCACGGGCTACCCGCTGTCGGAAGACGACGTCGAGGGCATTCAAGCTCTTTATGGTGGGAAAACAATCGGTCGAATGATCGGAATCTATTCCCTTTTTGCTGTACTTTGTTAATCTAATATTAGTTCTTCTACGATCGCTATCGTTGTATCACTGCTGTCAGAATGAACATATATATATATATATGAATGTATGTCTGTATATAAAACACATATATGTTCATTCTGACACATATATATGAATATATATATATAGTCTGTTCTGTAAATGTTCCCTAAAGATAAAAACAATAAGTTGTCGTCAACATTTATTGTCAGACGTTCCCTAACCCTCACAAACGTTTCGATCCACATCACAGGTCCAAACCCCAACAGCAGGAAAGTAAAACCAAAGCCTGACGCCCCGGACAAGTGTGACCCCATGTTGACCTTTGACGCGGCCACAGAGCTCCGAGGGGAGACCCTCGTCTTTAAGGACAGGTACAGAGACCTCACGGAGTCATGAAGGAACATCTGGAAGGAACATCTGGAAGTTGAGCTTCAGGTTTTATTGTTAAACTTCCTGTTGCAGATTCTACTGGCGTCTCCATCCTCAGATACCGGAGCCTGAGCAGGTCCTGATCAAGTCCACGTGGCCTTCAATCCCTAACAAGGTGGACGCAGCCTATGAGAACCCAGAGAAGGACCTGGTCATCATATTCAGTGGTAGGATGACGATGCTGATGCTGCTGATGCTGATGCTAATGATGCTGATGTTTTTCTACTGTTTTAATTTTGTAAATTTTTTTGTCTTGGCACAGGTATCAAAATGTGGGCTCTGAATGGATACAACCTGGTGGACGGTTACCCCAAGTACATCCACAGACTGGGCCTCCCCAAGAGCATCAGGAAAATCGACGCAGCCGTTCACATCGGAGACACGGGGAAAACGCTGCTCTTCACTGACGAAGAGTACTGGAGGTATGAGCCGATGCACCGTTCAGTTAAGACTGAAGTTTTTGGAGCGGTTCTTAAAGGATCCGTCTTCACGTTATCGTCTTTTTGTCAACGACAGTTACGATGAAGCGACAGGAACCATGGACAGAGGCTACCCACGCTCCATTGAGAAGGATTTCCCTGGGATGAATGATGAGGTCGACGCTGCCGTCTATCACTACGGTAATCTCAACCAATAATTCACTTATTACATGTTCAAAAAAGAAAAATTTTAACTAGGGATGTCCGATATTATCTTTTTGCCAATATCCGATATGCCGATATTTCTGACGCCGATTCCGATATAGGCCTGGTAATATTTATTTATTTATCTGTACAAAGCACTGTATGAGAATGAGATTAATTAAATGAGCTGCAACGCTGCCATCTAGTGACTTTCACTTTAATATACAGCCGTTAATCCCTTAAACTGTTTTTAGGACAAAAATTAGGTTTTCATTATCGGAGGAAAATCCGATACCCATTCTTACAGATATTACATACAATGCTAATATCGGGCCGATAATTATCGGTCGGCCATTATTATCGGACGTGCCCTATTTTAACACCGCTCCCACTCTGCTCTGTTTCAGGATTCTTATACTTCTTCCACGAACACGTTCAGTACGAGTACAGCTACAACTCCAGGAAGGTCATGCGCATCCTCAGGACCAACTCCATACTCAACTGCTGATTGGACAGAAATGTGTGTAAATATCTAAGGCCCAAAAAAAATTAAAAAACCACAGGGATATCTAAGGCCCAAAAAAAATTAAAAAAAAACACAGGGCGATGACCAGAGAACTCAACACTATTTCTATTTCGCTGAACTGCCCTGTGCTGGACACACATCAGTTCTAATTCGTGATCACTGTACTATTGTGTACTATAGTGTAATTTCTATTTATTTATATTAAACTCTAAAGGATTTGTTTGATTTTGAAGGCAGATCTGTGGTTAGTTTGGTCGATCTATCAGGTCAAAATGAATTCCTTGTAAAGGGATGTTTCGTTTTTGGTTCTCTGTTAGATTTGAACGTTTTGCTTTAATAAATATTTAAAAGAAAATGTTCATTGTCTCTCCGTAAATTATTGACTTGACCTTAGATGTGAGTCATCAGGACATTTCTGAAATACTTTTTGCAGACAGTACCGCAACAAAGACGCCTGGTGGCGACGTGTAATGACCATAATTTCACTCTAGAGGGCAGACTTTCCCGCTGTTCAACTACATCCAGGTCCTACAGAGTATCTAAACACAAAGTACAAGCACGAATCACAGATTGGGGAATTGAATTAGTCTAACGAACCGTCAGTATTTGGTTCTCTTTGAATCACAAACAACACGACGTGAGCAGCGTCAACCGTCACCGCGATCATGTGGCTGGAGTCACTCACCTCATGTTCTCATTTCTGTATTTCCTCCTCTACGCGGCGTCACTGAGTCACTAACTTAATTCTGTGTTCGTCACTGACACTGACTGAAGGTTTTTTTTTTTGTTTTTTTTACCCAGACTCACAGACACATGACACACGGTCTGTGAGCAACTTGTCTTCAGCTCAGTTTGTTCCTTCTTCTTCTTTTTTTTCTCCAAAGAAACTTTACATTAAGCTCCACCGGACAAAAACAAACCAACAAAAAACAAACAAACAAACAAAACAAAAGGGAAGCCATTGTTACTGCAGTTACCACAACTTGTCTCTAGGAGGCAGCATAACACCTAAACTTAGTAAATCATGGCGTATCTGAATTAGTCAGAAGTCTTCGGTATCAGGCCATTTTTTTATATCCTTGAAGTTGACATTTTAAAAATATTTAGGTTATAAGATTTTTATCTTTAAGTCAGAAACAAACACGTTAAAAGACGAAGCAGCAGAAGAAAAAACCCTAGTATTTTAGAGGAGCGGCTTCTTCAAGTCCTTCTTTACGAGTTTATAAAATGTCACCAAAAAAGACACTTAAAAAAAAGCTCCAGATTGAAACCAGATGAAGAGGACTCCTCACCCCTCCCTCACCCCTCCCTCACCCCCACCTCCCGACACTCTACACCTGTTCTACACATTTAAAAAAAACATTAAGTTCAATGAAAAACAGTTCATTTTTTTCTGTTTTTAAGACTAAAAAAATCAATCGATAAAGTTCAGTAAAACAACCGTCAACTGTTCTCTGTTCTGGGTACGAACTTCTCCGTCTGTTTCGTCTTATCTGCTGCCGCCGAGATTCTTCATTTTCCTCAACAACAGTTGACAGTATCTGAAGTCGGCAGCTGTGAAGTCTTAAAACCAGTGTCAGAAAAGAAACACAGTCGCTCTGTGTCTGTGTCAGTGTCAGTGTCTGTGTCAGTGTCTGTGTCAGTGTCAGTGTCTGTGTCTTCCTGACAATTTGTGGAAT